TTTTTTGGTACAGGGGATTAAACTCATGACCTTGTGCTTGGTTGCGAGGCAGGTGCAGTGCCACTGAGCTAAATCCTTGGCCCTGTCATTTTTGTTAACCATATTTTTTTCTTGGTTTTTGCTAGTTTAGTTTTCTAGTCTTCAGTCACAGACCATTCTCTTTTAATGTCTGCAGTATACAGGTAGGATAAATAATTACAGTGGGCTCTTGACTTAGGAACTCAATTTATTTGCAAGGGCTGATTGGTCAGTTGAAGGCTCTGGCTCCTCTTCCTGTCAGTCAAGTCTCTTGTATACAGGTAGATCTCAGTGTGCTTAGAAAGACTAAGCCCAGTATTTCTCAGTTAACTTCATAAAGGAAAAGATGTAATGTTCCTTCCAGAACTCTTTAAGAGGGCTAGGGATTTAGCTCAGTGGTTCTTCCACCTGCTTCACAAGTGCAAGGTCCCACGCTCAATTCCCAGTACCAAAAAAAAAAAAAACCAAACCCCAAAAAACAAAACGAACTTAAAACTCTTTAAGGGCTAAATCCGTATCTGAGACCATTTGGAAGCATAAGTGCCTGGCATTCAGATCATAACTCAAGACTCTGTATTAAGTTAAAACTAAAATGCCCGTTGTAACCCAAGTCCAGCTGTTCTTATGTCAGGCCAGTTGTATCTCAAAGGTCCATTGTGCAAGGATTCCTTGTTTAATGATCTGCCGATTGTTCAGTCTTAAGTAAGACCCGCTGCTTGGACTTAGGACCCATGTAAGGGTCAGAGGGAATGGATGTCGCTGGAGACCTCTGCAGTAAGTCCCAGCCTCCATAGCTACCACAGCACTGGCTAAAGGTGAAAGAATAGATGAAATGAGACTTACAGTGAAGCTGAGCCTTGGGTCCTGGTCAGTGCTGCTGATGGCAGCAAAGACAAAAGCCCCCAGGCACATCCAGTATTTATTGAATACAATCATGAGAAGGAATAGGGAGCTAGGAAGTTCTGAAGTCATCTAGTGAAATACTGCCAAACACTTGGCATGGTGGCGCCAGGCAGGGCTCTTAGCGAGTAGGCACTGCTTATCTCACTAGGGTAGGAGGAACAAGTATTGGGACCAGGCACAAGTAGCAAGTGACCCACAAGGTTAGTGAGAAGCACAGATGTCTGCTACAGACCCGTCTTCTTTTTTTTCTTTAAAAAGACAGAATTTCACTATGTAGTTTAGGCTGGCCCTGAACTCACTGTGTAACAACCCATGCTGGCCTCAAAAACTCCTGGTATCCTCCTACTCAGCCTCTTGAGTGCTGGGATTACATGTGTGTCACTACTCCCAGCTTACTGTCTTTTCTTTTTGTACATCTTGCTTATAGAGCCTCGATGCCTTTTTTTGGTACAGTATCTCATTCATACAGTACTGTAATTTTTGCTGATTGTAGTATACAGTACTGTAGTTTTATGTTATAATTATAGTACTTCATGTAAGAGTTATACAGATAAAAGCAGATCTCCAAGTTGGAATTTCCTTTGACCATTTCTTTGTTCTGAATATAAATACATGATTCCTCACTTAGCAACCAATTCAATTAATAGCAACCAATTCAATTAATGACCTAGTCTCAGAGACGTAACTTAGTTGCTAAAAAGGGAATATCTATAAATGGGTTTTGGCATGTTTTACAGTATTGCTTTCCAGAAGGGCTGAGCTTTTTACTTTGCTATCAATAAAGTATGAGGTACTAATTTTACTTTAGGCATAGAATGTGGTAGTTAAAAACTAGTTTTCTAGGGCCGAGGATTTAGCTCATTGGTTTCGCTGCCTGCCTCGCAAGTGCAAGGACACGAGTTCAATCCCCAGTACCAAAAAAAAAAAAAGAAATAAAAGTTTTCTAATTTAAGATAATAAAATAGTCACTCTGCAATTTGCCTATGTATTTAGTGCATTTGAAAAACTTGTGTGTGTAGCTGAGTGTGGTGCTGCACACCTATAATCCTAGCACTTGGGAAGCTGAGGCAGGAGGAATGCCATGTGTTCAAGGCAAGTCTAAACCACATAGTGAGACCCTATCTCAAAAAAGAAAAAAGAGAAATTTGTGTGTATATATAAAATATTTATTTTACCATTTTTGTGATACCGGATACATACTTATTTTTTAATTTTTCCAATCTGGGGATAGAACTCAGGGACTCATGCAAGCTAGGCAGGTCCTATCACTGAGCTACACCCCAGCCCTGTCTATCTGGGGCTTTTTTGTTTTGTTTTGGTTTGGTTTTTTGTAGATCCAGGGATTGAATTTAGGACAGATGCAGCACCCCAGAGTTAAATCCCCAGCCTTGTTTATCTGTTTTTAAGTAGTATCTTGTTTAGTAGTTTCTTTTTGGAATATGTATAGATATTTAAAGTAGTTTTTCTGTTCCTGTGACAATATAATATCAATTTTGGAGCCCCTGGATATCAGTTACCTTTATATATTTAAAAAAGTTAGGAGGACATAACAAACAAGATTCTTGGTAGAGAGGGAAGAATTTTCCTGGCCTATAGCTGAAGAGGTACACTAATTTCTTGTCAGTGCCCACTGGTTGTTTCAGTAGACCCAGTAAATACAGGTATTTCTCTAGCAGTTTATAGCTGACATTGTATTTCTAAGGATCATTCTTTGGTCTGGATTTTTCAGGGTCTGTCTCTGTAAAAGTCCATACTTTGGATTTTTGAATTCCTTTTAATTTGAAACTATAGTTTCTTCATACTACTCATTCGTGGTCTTTTTGTGTTTGACATTCTTAAACTGGCTTTGGAACAAGGGCACCACACAGCTTCCTTTGCTCCCTTGTGTGTGAAGGTTCAGCACTGCTGGGGAAGATAATGCCTCTGGCTTTGTGATCCTTGACTTGGGGAAGGGCCTGGCTATTTCAGGTCTGTTGCTTTCAAGAACTAGGGTGCTAAAACTGAGAATGTTAGCATCCAAGCAGATAGGGCAGCAGGTAGGTTGTTATTTACACTGACTGTTCTCTTTTCCCTTCCATACAGTGCTCTGGTCTGGGGTCTCTCTGTGAAACACAATCCTCAGAAAGTGGGTAAAGACCATACGTTGGAGGACGAGGATGTCATTCAGATTGTGAAGAAGTGAACCCCCCCTCCCCCATCAGCTGGGCCAACCGCAGCGGCTTTCCCCATGACCAAGCACCCTACTCAATTCCTTTTGTTTTTGGCAGCCACTGGATCAGGGTAAAGGGGTGGGAAATGGAGGCACCCAAACTGGAACTTCACTTACCTTACTGTGGTGTCACCTTCTGTGTTGAACTGCGTAAAAGACCTAGCAGGCCTGTTCGCTATGTGCAGTTCATGTGTTCTTGTCAGATTTGTTTTGGAATGGGCTGAAAGAGCAATGTACAGTGAAGCAGTTGCCAAGAGAGTGCTTTGTAGCCTGGTCTTGAATATGAAATGGATAAAAGTGTGACATGTAACATCTTTTTGATGCTTTGTGATGGGGACCCTTTCAACTGCATGTGGCCTTCAGTCCTTTCAGATGATGTGGTTCACGTGATACTGGACAGAAGAAGGACTTGATGTACATTATTATTACCCTGCTTGGCTTCCATTTTGGGAGATGGTATAGTCTAGCAATTGAGTAAACAACTGAACAGGCAGATTGGGGTTTGAAGGGGCAGGTCAATCTCTAGTTAGCTGTGGAACCCTGAACAAATTATTCAATCCTTTTGAGCTTCTGGGGACATTAATAGCACTTACCTTCTAAGTGGTGGTTGTTACTACTAAGGGAGTGGGTCATTTGTAAACTTAGCATAATAACTGGCATATAAATATTCAGGACATGTTGGCTTCTGTTGTTACTGGATCCATTCCTTTATTGGCTTCCCTGGCTACCCAACTCCGAACACACCTGTACCTCAGTATTGGGCTAAATGTTGAGCTGAACCTTGCTACCAGCTAGGCCACTGTCTCCTTTTCTGTAGCCAAGGCTTTGTGCTTGAACCTCCACGGCAGTCCTGACCTCAGCCCCATAGTCTGTGTGAAGGTAGGAAGAACATTACAAGTGATCCATTGTGATCAGAGGAGAAAGGCTGCATATATATGTGGAGGTGGGAAATTAAGTTGGAGGAGGCTGGCATCAAGACTACTCAAGAAGGTACTAAGGGCATAACCAGAGGTAGGTTGTGGGGCCTGGGAAGAAGGGAATTTAAAGAAATAGCTCTGATTATATGAAGCCAGTTGGTAGTAATCTTAGTGAGGACATAAACAGAGGGTAGCTATGGCCACATAGATACGGAAGAGAAATCTAAACGGTAACTTGCTGGACTGATTGGCTTTCTGAAAGAAGTCCAAAGATTGAGTGTGGACTACAAAGATGATAGAGTAGTCACTGAGAAAAATCAGAAAAGTGAACAGATTTGTAGGAAAACAAAGGGTTTTTTTGTGTTTTTTGTACCTGGGATTGAACTTTGCACTTGTGAGGCAGGTGGTGGCACCACTGAGCTAAATCTCCAGCCGGGAAAACAAAGTTTGATTCTGTCTTCAAATATGAACCAGAGCTTTTAGTAGGTTGTGAGGGATGAGCAGATAGGATTAGCCACTTACTTAGCTTTTGTCCAGTGCTTGTTCTTTCTGCCTTCTAGAGCTTTGGCTTAGCACTGCCCTCAGACCTAGGAGATCAGCCCCTCATGCCTCAGAGGCTAGTCATTTCTCAGAATGTAGACCTTGGTGTCATGCCCCCCCCCCATTTTAGTGCTGGTGATCCAACTCCGGCCCTTGAGCTTGCAAGGCAGGTGGCGGAACTACTGAGTCAAATCCTGGCCTTCCTTCTCCATCTTTGGAGGGAAACACTAGAATGGCTTTATGAAGTGTGGGATTTCTAGCAAGGTTTGCTCTCGAGCCAGAGCATATTGGGTTTTTAGGGAATATTAATGCCAAAATTCACTTTGAGCATTTGGCATTCCCAGGGTCCTAGGGAGAGAAATTGCCAAAATCTAGTTCATCTAAAGCTGCAGAATATGCTTTGAAATAGGCCTTGCATCCATCCTTCAGCACCTCCCCTCTCTTTGATCTGTGGTCGTCATAATCCTTGAGAGAGTATCCGCTTACCTTTTTCTCCTTTGGAGTCAAACTTATAATTTCTGGAAGAGGGACAGTTGGTACTTGGAATACTGACTGACGGGTTGGGCTACTGAGAAGGTACGTTCCTGCAACCTCTAAGACTATAGTGGTCTGCCTCTCAGGCATGGCTTGAATTTTTGTTATTCTTTGACCTTGCCTAGTACAATTAAGCAGACCCACTGTTCTGCACCATTAATTAAAATACTTCACATTTAACAAGAAAGCACTAGTTGACATGCAAAGAAACTTGTTCTTATCAGTTGTCTGGAGCTCATAATAGGTTCATGGCACTTATTAGATCTCTGAGAATCCAGGATCTGTCACCTCCTGTGTCTTATGCAGTTTGTTGGCTTTCCTGGGCAGCTGGCTCCCCTAAGTCACTGTCTGCCACATTCTCAAGCTGAATATTAGCACCCAGAGGACGATAAAGAAGGCTAGACCTTGCGTTTTTTGTTTTTTTGTTTGGTGTCAGGGATTGAACTTTGGACCTCGCACTTGCAAGGCAGGTGGCAGAACCACTGGGCTAAATCCCAAGCCAAACTTTTGGGAAGCCCTTTTCTAGAGTCTTCAACCAGTTTGTCTTTGTGTGTCAAGTCCTAAATTGAGTCCCATGATTCTTGAACCAGTTGTTGGTTAAGAGAATAGAATTTGTTTTTGTGCTTTTGAGACTAGGTCTCAGTATGCAGTTCAGGCTTCCTTGAATTCCCAGCAGTCCTCCTGCCTCAGCCTCCCAAGTTCTAGGTTTACAGGTTTGCACCACCACACGCAGTTAGACTAAAGCAGATTTTATCCTGTATCTTCATTCCTGATTGTATTTGTCTATCTGCCTAAGAGAGCCTTGCAACTTACCACTTAGCTATTCTGGAAGAGGACCAGGCCGTCCTTCCTTTCCGTTTGATCACTCAGCCTGCTAGCCACTAGCTGGTCAGCTGCTTCCTTTGGGAAGCACTGTTCTTTCCTCTGTACATGCTGCCGAAGTGAGCACAACTGTTCTTTCCTGTGACCTGCCACCTCTTTCAAGGCAGGTTTTTCCATGAGCTGTCTGTGGCATTCTTGTATTTTACTTTGAAGATACCATCTACATCCTTGGCTTCTCAAACTTTATTTGTATCTGTACTCAACTTTATTGCTTTTATACTTGTCCTGTGTCTGCTGGACATTCCAAAATTGTTCCAAACAATTCATTGGCGGAGGTAGCCTTTCTCTGTCCATACATTAGACTCAGCTCCTGTGAGACTATCATCTTCTCTTGTTTCCACCTTCTGCCATTCCGTTTTAGCTTCATTAAAACCTGTATGGTTAGCTTCTGATAATCCTTAGTTAATGCCCTCATTTCCTTGTGGCTCTTGTCTTGCTAATCAACCCAGTCTTACCCTGCACCTAATACTGTTTGATTAGCACAAAGGGGAAATCAGTGGAATAGGACACATAGGAAAAGTGGAACGAGTCATGCGTAAGGGTTCTGCTACTGACATTTAGGTGTGGCTTCCATCTGTCACTTGTGGAAACAAAAGGCTTCCCCCAGGTCTGAGGCTGGAGTCACACTGAAAAGGAACGGTATTACAGAGGGTAGAGGGTAACTAATGAGTTTGAAGGAAAAGGACCAGCAAGGGATTGACCTTATGCTCAATCCACAATGCCAGACTTTATTAAAAGGTGACCTTTCCTGTGTTCTTGGAGGTACAAGGCAGAGTGGGTAGGTCCAGGTTCATGGTTAACAATCCTTTCATTCAACACTTGTGAACCACAGGCTCTATTTTATCTTTGCACCCAAAATCCAACCACTTGCTCTCCTATGTAGTTGGGCTGGCCTTGAACTCACTGTTGTAGCCCAGGCTGGCCTCATCCTTGGGGCTGTCCTCCTCCCAAGTTGCTGGTATGATAGTCATTTACCACTACGTCTCATCTGTGAATTAGAAAATGGCTCCATTAGTTCACCCTCTAGCGTGGAGTCAGAGTTTTTACAGCCTCAAATGGGTGAGTATTTAGGACTCAGGTAAATTAAGCTGAGCTTGAGACATAGGTCAAATCAGTAGGATTGAGAAATGTTTCATCAGGAAAGGAGATTCACGACCCTGTAGTATTCTGTAGAATACTTTCCCTGATACTGTGTAGTGAAGCTGGTAAGTTAATACAGCACTTGAAAAGATGAGGTACACTATACAAGGAGTTAACACGGGCAGTCTTGAGCAAAGTTCTAGAGAAATTAGCCTTTTAATGAATTGAGTCAAAGCTGACCTGGATAAATAAGGATGGCCCTGTAAGTGTAATTTGGGAGGAAACTATCATATACATGATTTCTACATAAGCAAATTATTTTTATTAGGTGAAAAATTGCATACTAAGTACTGATACCCTGATATTGGCCACAAGACTACTTACAGCTCAGCCTGAACTGTCATAATGGGGTCCTTAAGGTCAATAAAAGGGCAAATTAAGATAGAGTTCATTTGGATGAATTTTAAAGAAAATTTTGAACTTCAGGTCATAAAGACTCTCCTGAGGGCTGGGGATTTAGCCAGCGGTTCTGTCACCTGCCCTGCAAGCACAAGGACCTGAGTTCGATCCCCAGTACCAAAAAAAAAAAAAAAAAAAAAAAAAA